AACTGGAGAAATGCACAGAGGATGGCTGGTGTGAGCAGGCTGTACAGCCGCTTCTCCCTCCAGATGGAGGGGAAACAGGCTAACCTGCCATGGCAGTTGCAGGGTGTGGTGACCCCGTTCTCTTGCTCCCCATTTTGGTTTTGGATCCAGTGGCAGACCAGCACCAGTGTAAGGGCATGGTGGCTGCAAGGCGGATTGCACTTTGGAAGGTGGATGAGCAGAGGATGCGTGACAGTGCCAGACTTAAAGGTGGCACTACAGCTAAATTTTTTAATTCCTGAAAATATCGCGTCTTTTTATGAAACCATACCTGCCTCTGGCTGTCGCTCAGGCTCACTAAGGGAGTTTCTTGCTCTACTGCCAGAGTAAGATGGCTGAACGTGCTAGAGAGAAGATGCAAGCGTCATTCAAGCAAACAAAAACTATCTGATATTGCTGGAGGTGAACTCTTTGGCAGAGGTTTGCCTGCAAGAGTGCGCTTTAGTGTCAGACACAACACTTTGAAAATTGGCTCTGGTGAAATGGGGTGGGACATAGCTGAGCTAAGGAGACAGGAACTGCAGGATGCACCTAGGTGAAATGCAGATTAGGTTGAAATTTTTACTTATTCCTGATACTTGATTGGATTAAATGATTTTTTGGCTTGATTAGCCACATTCGTTTTTTTCATTTAAAGATATTTTACTGAGTAGCAGAGAAACTGAAAGCTAAGGAGGAACTAATGTATGTATAGCTCTGATCTCAGACGTGAGCAGACAGTAAACTGGAGAAGTGTTCAAGGTGAGGCTGGATGGGGCTTTGAGCACTGTGATCTAGTGGCAGATGTCCCTGCCCATGGCAGGGGTGTTGGACTAGATGATCTGTAAAGGTCCCTTCCAACCCAAACCATTCTGTGCATTCAGTAAGTAGACAGTGCGTGTTTTTATTGGTATTGTTTTACATAAGAGGAATTGTTTCCTTATGCAAAGCCAACATGAGCTGTGTCTCCCCACAAATGGTGCTCTACCAGAGTAGCTGCAGCAACAAGGCAGTCCCAGTGTGAATTTCACTGGGAGGGTTGCCTACCTGAGCAGTTTACAAGCCTGTATGTACCACCCTAAGCATTAAAATTCTGCTTATCTGCAGCCAAGAACAGGAAATCTTCTGCTGTGCATGGCTGCTGGGCTGCAGATGCTTCAATTTTTTCTCAACAGATACTCCAACTCATGCTGAACCCTTGGGACATCCATAGCTTCAAGTGGCCATTTCCTTTAAGGCAACAGTTGAATTTGCCACATCAAAATGAAGTGGCAGCACATAGAAAAAAAAGAGGAGGAAAATCAAAGCCATTAGTAAAATGAAATTTAACAAGTAGCTGAAGAAAGTGTGGGAAGATCACTGGGAATAGCACAATTAAGTGCTAGCGTTTTGCAAAGTTGTGTGGGAAGTGTGGGGATCTGGGTGAGCCTACAGTGTGATGAGTCTGGGAAGGGGGGTTGTGAAGAGAACCCAAGAGGTTGTCACTCGAGGAGAGTTCTGAAAAAACATGTGAGCCGAGTCCTGACCTGTCTTGGGAGAGTCTGGCTACAGGACTTGATCTGCAGAAACAGCAGTTGCTGGCAGAACTTAAGAGATTCGAAACGAATGTGGATAGATGCACTTAATAGTGAGGGGACATCTGCTTCAGTGGCTTTCTTCCTTTACCTCTGGTAGTTGGGTCATCCGGAGCCACCAGGAATACTGGGTAGCACCTTGGGAGATACCTCCTTTTACCTTGTAGAAAGCTGAAGAGGTGGAGCAGGATGGGAACCATGCATTGTTACACCTCTGGGCTCAGGAGCAGCTCCAGGTGTTCACAGCAACACACAGGAGCCTGTTCTACCTTCCCGATGGAGTGCAGAAGGGCTGGCTCAACTTTAGTCCCATACAGGCTTCTTTGGCAGTTGTTGTGGCAATAGAGCAACAATGAATTATCCAGAAAATTGAGTGCTCTCCTGGTGAACGCAGAGCTGCTGGCAGCTGGGGATCTGGATGGTCTTCTGCTGAAGGAAGCCATAATGTCAGCTGTGAAGGAAAAAGAGATGAAAGACCATATCAATAGTGTTTGGGTGAGGATGCAGTTGCAGAAACTGGCTGTGTAAGGCTCTGGTGGCTCTGGAACAACTTCTTCCCACGGCACTGGCAGTCGCTCACCTGTAAAAGTGTCAAGAGAAAACAATCAAGAGAATACAGTTTGTGTGTGTACGTAGGGCTGTCAATCTTCACACTAGTGAAGTCATCTCAAAGACATGAGACCTGTGCTGGGCACAGGAGGAGGGTGAACTACTGAACACAGATGGTGTACCTTGCCTGCTGCTCTCTTTGGGATGAACCAGGCTGGTTTCTCCAAACCGGGCACATGATCCAACGGTATCCAAGGAATCCCACAGCCTGCTAAGAGGGTGCAGAGACAGGAGAGAGGCAATGGGCATAAACTGCAGCAGAGGAAGTTCTACGTGAACATAAGGAAGAACTTTCCTGTGAGGGTGACTGAGCACTGGGACAGGCTGCCCAGAGAGGTTGTGGAATCGCCCTCCCTGGAGATATTCAAAAACCGTCTGGACAAAATCCTGGTCCATGTGCTCTAGGAGTCCCTGCTTGAGCAGGGTGGTGGGACTAGATGACCTTCAGGGGTCCCTTCCAACCTCAACCATTCTGTGATTCTGTGAAGTTATTCCACAGATTTCCCATTCCCACAGCATCCCTTGTCCGGGTGGGTGGAGACACATGACACGCAAGGGGTGCTTCATTAACAGGGCATTCATTTGTGTTTCAGGTGGTTAGCTCGACCAATGGGGAGCTGAATGTGGACGACCCGACGGGGGCACACTCCAACGCGCCAATAACAGCGCAGGCGGAGGTGGAGGTGGTGGAGGAAGCTAAGTACGTTTGCTTTACAAACACGCTTTCCACTGGCGTGGTCATTAATCCTCCTCCTGGGAAACGAGTGGGGATGTTTACCCGTGGTGAAGTACCCAATGCTCGTATCCCAAGCCCTTTTCCTTGCATATTGCTGCTTTTGTGCATGGTGCCTTCAGTGCTGCTGCTGCTGCTGCTGCTGCTGCT